ACACAACCACAAACACACAACCACAAACACACAACCACAAACACACAGCCACAAACACACAACCACAAACACACAACCACAAACACAAACACAAACGCACAACCACAAACACAATCACAAACGCACAACCACAAACACAACCACAGCCACAATCACAAACACGCAATGACAAGCACGCAACCACAAACACAACCACAGCCTCAACGACAAAGACGCAACCACAAGCACAACCACAAACGCAATCACAAACGCAACCACAAACACACAACCACAAACACACAGCCACTACCACTACCACTACCACTACTACTAACAAATAGTAATAAATAGTAATACTACTACTTGGGCCACCCAGTACGACTACTACTGAAATTTTCTGAGTTGTATTATTAGTTGGGCGCAGGTCTGCTGATGAAAGCATTCGCTTCGGACAAAACAGTAAGACTTGGCGCTGAAGGACTTGTGCTATGGGCTGAAATACACAACAAGGTTGATGTCAACGTGGTTGTTTTGAAATGCCATGGTGGGGATCACTCGAAGCAAAGTAATTTATTTACTACAGTACAGTATACTTACATATGTCATTTCAAATTCGCTTGAGTACAGGCGGTGCTGGTCTTTTGCCGCGAGGTATAGTACATGCCTTTCAATGACCAGTGGCAATTTCCATTGCCCTCCCAACCTACTTCCCTACTAAGGCGAAAGGATCCCCGGGAATCTTGGTAAAGGAACAATCATTCAGACCAAGCGTGGGTCTTATTGTTTGTCTCATGGGTCATACCAGGGCAATGATGACCATCCAAGTCTCCAAGTCATGGAAGTGGAACTTGGCAGATTAAAAAAACAGCGAATCTCTACGGCACTGCTTTCATGAGGACATACTGCTTTCATGGGCGTAGGTCAATGAGCCATCACCGGCGAAAGAAACGATCGATCGGGGCCCAGGATCATCGAAATCATTCGGATGGCGCGTGCCAGCTTCCCAATCCGCAGCAGCTTAAAGAGAAGCGGGTTCACGGGGAGGTCACCCTGAGAGCAGACGTAGTGGCAAATTTCATCGAGCTGGCTGGCACTACCAAAAACCACGAAGAGGTGGCTTGGGGAGAGGGCCTCCTGTTGTGAGACAAGGGCTAGAGATCTGGGAAAACCACGGCGTGAGAAAAGGCGCACCGTCACATCGTATTTCCAAACATACTTTGCCTATGTTTGCTTGAACAAGGTAATGCTGTTAGGGTGGAACAAACCCTGCAAAATGGGGGGCTTCGTTCATTGTTGTACCTGGGACAAGGGAGCCGAAGCATGACCATGATTTCAGATCAAATGCTGACCGAAAAAACACATGATAAAAAGGCAACAAAATAGGTGTCTCAGAAAACAAAAGGCCGGGGCGACAAATAATCAGGACCCCGCCGGGGCCTCTCTGTTGAAAGCAAAACCGGACCAGCTGTTAGAAGAGGAAACAAACAACTGAATCTATTCTCTTATATTGGTTGGACTTCCCTCTTGGCTGCTTGCAAGTACGCACGGGGTCAATGTAATTGAGCACCTCTGAAGCAAAACCAGCGCATCCTTTGCTCTGAAATGTTTTTTGTTTTTTCCATGGATTTGTCCTGTGTCTTGTGAAAACCGCAAAAGGAGAGGGAAGAAAGTAAGCCAAGCACCACTCATTTGGGGTGTTACAAAAAAAGCATGTTCCAACTTCCAACCCAAGAAAACCACAGCTACTGACCCAGTGGCCTATCCCAAATTCAGAGTGACACCCTCCCTCAAAAAGGACAGTCGCCCAATGATTAGCTAAGCAGATGATGTATGATGAACTCCTGAGAAAGAGCTAGGTCACGGTGACATTACGATTCCATCTATCCCCTTCGCTGGTAGGCCTTCACAGGATACTTAGATCCTCCCATCTCGCTATCTTTAGTGTTTAGATGTGTTTAGTAGACTTTACCACATCCGCTCAAAGAAGCGTGCTGCTGGTAGATTAAGAACCAGAATGGCTGGTCAACTATCTCCCCTTCACCATGCCTCACTCCTGCAAAAAAGCACCCCAAGGTTGACCAATCAAGGTGAAGCATGTTCATTGCGGTGAAGCATTTCTTCGAGGGACCAAGAGGGTGCCACTTAAAATCACCTCGGCCATGGCCGTCATCGAGACTGCAATATCCACCTCATCGCGGTGACCGGATCGGTGGGTTTCCTATGGGATCGCGCTGAGGCCGAGCCCAGCGTGGTGAGAGTCAAGCGTGGTGGGACCTTAATGGATCCTCACCGATATATAGAGGTATCTGGTATGAGTCAAGCGTGGTCAATGATCGTCAAAAGTTCCTATCCTGTCAATATTGACACATATTTACACCATTGGCCTGAACCAAGCATGAGTCACACTCATGTTGGCATGCCTCCCGACCAAACATGTCGATGGCAGTGTGTGGGCAGTTTCTCTTTTGACATCCAAAGGAATCTCCTCGCAAATGACTGGAAGGAATTTAGAAAAGCGTCTTGGGCAGGCAAAAACCGTTTTTTTCGGCCCGCGAAGGATTGACCAAGTTGCGCAGACATGTGCCATTCGATGTTCGGTGATAGGTCACCACTCCGTGGCACCACTCGACGGACTCCGCGACAGTGAAAAACCGGTCGAAGCAAGCACGCACCCCGTATTTTGTTGGCAAACACTCAAAGAGTTCTGATTAAATCATGGTCACATAGTTCAAGCACATGCGGAAGAACTTGCTCCTCAGCACCTTGGCCGTGTGACGCCGTAACCGCTTGGCTGAAGTAGGTGTAACTTTGTGCAACAAAGACACTGCTTACTGCTTTCTCAGTTCCAAGGAAATGAAAGCATGGAATGACATCATGTGATAGCATACATGGCACGTAATATGTTAGGTGGTTGGTCCTTGAAGTCTCATGTTGTTTCCATAGTCAAAACCTAGAGGCATTTCAGGAGGTTGCCTGCTGCGTGCTTTTATGTAGACATTCCCTGCCAACATTTTCTGAAGTGAAGGAAAGTATGTACACATTGGCCTGCCATATCCTAAAGCTTAAGTAGGTTGTGCAGGATTATGTTCAATTGCAAACATTAACTTTGCATCCAGCGGTGAACATGTTGTGCAACTCCTTTGTCCATCCCGACACCTTCTTTTTAACTTCAGGTGGCTTGAAAGTTGAGGACATGTTCTGACAGCAAGACGCATATGCAACTCAGAAAGGTAGCATGGGTCATCATGGGTCCGAGCTGCCCACATAATTAAACATAAACGCACCAAGGAAGACCTGGAGCCACCCAACCCCGACAAAAAAAGACTGCACTTTATCACTTGATCCTAATTCAGGTACAGGATGTCTTCCTCCAACACGGATCACTGCATGCGATCACATGACTTAAGAATGAATCTACCCCAAGGATCCAGACTACTAAACATCTAACATGTGGCACGCCCCACTTTACACGTGACGCGTTTTTTCTGCTCCCCCTCATGCCTTTCTGCTCGCGCCGGACCGCCCGCGCCGGACCGCCGCGGGTGGACGGACGTCGGATGGCCGGTCTCGTCTCGTCTCTGGCGAAGTGGCGATGATGCGCACCAGCACGTCCGTGACGAAGAGGTATGCGAAGATCCGGTCGCCCAGGAGGAAGGCTTCCAGCCTCGAGGACGAAGGCTGCACTGCGCGACCGGATGCAAGAGTTGGAAGTGGGGCGCCCAGTAGTGACAAGTTGTGAACTTGAATGACCATGCATGGGGCTGAGACAAACCCTAAATTCACCTACATACTACCGTAGCCAATATAGCTCTTTGGCAAAATCCAAACCTCTTTCCAAATACAGCTTGGAATCTTGTGTAACTCGTGACTCCCAGACTCCCAGGACAAAAAAACAGCACCCTGGTCACCGTTTCCATCGCTGAAAACCTCCGGCAATTGTCAAGGAAAGTCTTCTTCCAAAATTGTGAGTTTTAGATTTTACGTTAGCTACTAGGTTGGAGGCCATCGCTCTTAGGTTGGAGGCCATCGCTATAGTAATTGTCTACTTAGTCCATGTGAGTCGCAAATTTGCAGGGTAAACATCCACGAACGTGCCATGCCAAGTCTCCAGTGGTCCAAGTTCTGAATCCCGCTTGGATAGATGCCCAGCAAATAGCCTGCTCGTGTCTAACCCGGCGTGGGGTGAAAACACAGACGGCAAAACGGACGCCATGTTTCAGCCGCCGTCGACGGACGCTTTCTTTGTTTGGAGATCTGAATAGCTGCAATCCTCGGAACAGTGATGCGGTAGGCAAAGAACTAGCACGCAGTTTTCAAGTCACGCAACCACAAAAAACCCTTCAGCACATAAACCTTTCCACCAATCCGATTTCTCAGCGTGGTTGGGAGAACCAAACAGAAACGCCAAGGAAACCACTTGGCTCAGGCTCCCTCTTTATTGCCTTGTTTGGCTACACCTAGCTATATACTAATACTTTATAGCAAAAGAACCACCTGTATCTGACAATCTACTCAGGATGATCCTTCAAAAACAGACAGCTTTGCAATGTCTTTGTTTTTGATGTTACTGAAACCATTCAATGCACTCCTGCTCAGCGAGAAAAAATATCTATATACAGACTCTTCTTGACAAATCATTCGCACAACTTGTTATATCCTGCATGCGCCGCAAGTGAAAAAACACATGATACAGTATTAAGAGTGTGCAGCAAAACCATCCAAAACCACAAACTGCACATGGCTACACATGGTCACCCAATCCTGGCTACAACTGTAGCCGTGGTCACTCGTCCCACAGATCACCCGAACGCACCCGTTCAGAACGCCATCCACACGCCTTTCTCTCGTCCAGTGACTTGGAGTTCGAAGGCCATCCACAAGGCGTTCATCCCAAGGACCTGAGGCGCAACGTTCCGTGTTTAAAGTGGTCGCAGTGTGGAAAGCCACAATGACGTGCGCACTCACGCTGTTTCTTCGGCTGAAAAGTGTGGTGTTTTGTTTCTGTTTTTTTTCCGGGGCGGTAGAGGGGCAAAGCAGGGAGAAACCACGGCAGTTTTGCGAAGTATGTGATGTAAAAAAAGACATCTTAGATAAACTCAGCTGATTTCCCACTGTGGCTCCACTGGCGAGAAGTGAATTGATTGCAACTTCAGTTGCGAAGGCAATGAAGAACTCGTACCAATTGGACTGCCTCAAGTGGCAAGCGGGCAACTCTCCATTTCACCAACCTATAGTCTGTGGTTTGGACAGCCATATCCCACAACTTTCACATTTGGTTACGCTGAGCTTTCGCAGAGCTTTTCTCGGACCATCCATTTGGCGCTTGAAGATGCTTAAGAATGACTCACTATGACCACCCATATTACTGTATATGGTTCCTTGGTGTGCCACAGACAAACATGGACAGACCCCTCCAGTCAGCTCCTTACAAAAGATTCCCAGCAAACCTTTGAAGGAGGGTATGCAAGGTCACCTGTGCGGTCTGCATAGGAAACATGCGTACATTTGGAGGCTCAAACCTGTGTACAATGTTGGACAACACCTCAGGAACATGTCACCCTCGTTGGTGTTCAGGACAATTTCTCTCTCAATCAAAGTGTATGTGGCTGATCCCTCGCCCTACACGATGCTATACTCAAGCGACGGAGCATCAGTCAGCAGAACAGGTGCTACTCCTTGTCCAAAGTCGAGTGGATGTGGCGTCACAAATCAGCTACACTCCCTGACATCGTCATCGTATTACGTGGATGGCATGGGGTCCTGGAAAGACCATGACATCCGTTCTTTCCAAACAGGGGGTGAACCTACAGCGCTAGCCAGTGAACACTCCGCAGACCCAACTGGCAGAATTGACGCTTCCAAGCGCGTGACTACGCGAGTTCCAAACGGTGAAACCCACGCCAAGTGGCAAGAAGTTCTCCAGTTTCGTACAGCAGCCGGTTTCCTTCAGTTCATCCCACTGATGCTTGCGGAACCTGGTCGCAAGACGACCACGGCCATGAAAGGCGGCGCAAAATGTGTCAGATCGATGGAGCCGAGCCTCATCCCAAAACCAAACGCATCCCATTTCCACTGGTCTCCGAATCTTATTGATCTTATTGCGCATCTGAATCGTTTAATCCCCAGTCATCGTGGAGACACTGCAGTCAGTTTCTCATAGGCGAGGAGGTCGGTCCTTCTTTCAGCTTCCAAACAGGATTCCAAACGCGGCCCTCAATGCGGGACAAAACAATGAAATACCCGCTCGAGAATGCAAAGAACATCAGAGAAATGTACCTCTACCACGCTTAGATCAGATCATGCTCCCTTTTTACATACAATTCGTAGCAACTCGTTGTCTGGCGGGGACACCAAACAACACCAGGCACGTATCACCACCACCTGTTTCACATGCGCATTGCGCTCGAACCGAAATCTTTACCAGGTTACGAGGTGATCCTGGTTGCAATCATGGCCGGGCTCCAAGACTCCTGCGCGGTGCAGTCGTCAAACACGTTTTCGCGACACTGCCGGTGATTCCAGGAGTCGCCCTGAGAAGAAGGAACATGACCATGAAAGAAATTGCGTTTGTATGCATATGTAGTCATGTAGTAACTTTCTGCCTGTGCTACTGTAGATGGACGCAATATTCAATCCCTTCAAACCACCTTGACCCCTGGAGCCCCCCCAAACCACCCAATTTTAGCAAGCTTGCCAGAACGTTTGGGCGAATGGACGAAACAAATCAAACCCTAAAGCAAATCGAAAGAAGTCGCGTTCAACATTGAACGGTAAGGGGTAAGGGGTTCATGACAGCTCCCTGACTCAGGGGTTTGAATATTTTGTTCATCTAGTGTAGTACCAGCAGCTACAGACTGCCCTCAAGCAACTAGGGGACCATCAAACACTTTGGGTTTGGGATTTCAGACTGTTCCTACATCAAAGTCAGGTTTGCGCTGTTGTTCACAACGGATTCCACTTTGATCGTATTCTGTCTGCAAAAAAAAACAGTCAGAGAAGTCCCTATGTGCCTAAAATGGTGGCTGCATGTCGTGCGCACTATTTTCCAAAATGTTTCATAACTTGCCTCATAAAACTCGGTCCCCAAATCGCCCAATCCGATGTCTTTTTAAATGTCCCTTGTTGGATCTTTATAATATGTCTATATGCCCAAAACCACTGTTGCTAGTGTTTACAGGTCTGGGCAGTATACCTATATGCCGGATGTACCACCTGTTTGCTTGTTTTCCAGGGTACTTTGAGAGTCTACTTACAAAACAAAAAGGAAGGGCTGTGGATAAAGATGCTGTCCCCTGACGAAACAGTCCATTCACTGAAACGCATTGTGATACTTTGATTTCACTGAAGCAGGGGCGATTGTAGAGCAGCTCAGAAGTCTGGGAGTCTTGGGGAAGCGACCGGGCACGTGAATCTATTGAGGACCAAGGCCTCTACTCCCAAGCAGCATCCAGCAAGCACGTCCTCGGCCTTTTCAGCTCCAATTGATGTGCTTTCAGAGTAGAGTTGGTCAGTGCTCGTGGCCTTCTAGCATTCGCTGCATCTAAGGATGATCAACAACCAACCATGTTGAATCTATATATATATACCCTGAAAGTCAAAGACACTTTTAAAATTGTTGATCTGGTGTTGATCTGGTTCGACTTCTCGGGTATATACACATACTCTGGGAGTTTAAGGCAATTACAATCAATTATAGAAAAAATTGTCTTTAGGTGCCCCACATTCTCTATTATATGTACAGCTCAATAATGGCTTTGTAAGTCTGGTTAGATTAGCCGTAACCACAGTTAGTTGTTGGCACAGTAAATACTGATGTTCAATGCTGCTCTATGTAAAATTATTACATGTATTGATAAGAACAAATACTGTACACACCACCACCAGAAAATTAAGTTGATCGTTTGTCCCTAGAACGCGGTTCCCCTTTGGCGGTTCCCCATGCTGTCCTCCGAGACCTCCTGCAGCGCATGCTCGTCGAATGCTTCGAGCAGTTTGCCTGGCAGCAGTTGATGGTGGGAGCAGAATATGACCAGCCAGCCACATATTAGGGGTTGGGGCCCCAAGCTCCAGCATTTTGAGGTGGGAAGGGGGAGAACCTGTGGTCCTGGCAATTCTCACAATTCGACTACTACTTTGCAATGCAACCTTAGAGATTCGAGACGATGCTCTTTTCGAACGATGCTTCAGATTATTTGGTCTGGGCCACGCTGCGACCACAGAATAGGAATTGAACAAAAGAACAGGCTGCGTTCACCAATCAAGCCCTAATTGATGGAGAACTCACCCAATGAAGGCCCACATTGGAACGTCTGCTTTGTTGTAGGTGCGGTGCGGTGGATTCCGGTCACGTCCGCAAGACGGCGAGTCAAAACTCGCCTTAAATTTGTCGGACCTGGGGTTCTTTGAACTCCCAATGACTCCCATCATATGCGACTTAACGCCGTTTGTTGTTCACGTTGGCAAAAACACACCTTTTAAAACTTTTGCAGTTGGTTGGTGACGTAGCTATCTTGTTCGGCCTGGAGCCTGGACACGTTTCATCGATGTCACAAACTTGGGGATGTTCTCCATGTTCGGTCTCACTACAATTACTTCTCTTGCGCTTGCACCTTCGGGAGCCCGGGGTCTGCACGCGTGGAAAGGTGCCGAAAGCTACCCATGGAACAACACACAAGGATCCATTCCCTAGGGCTCCAACTACCTCCTGAGAAGGTGGTCGGGGTGGGTTTTGGGGTCTAACCACCTTCAGAGGCTATAGGCCATAGGCCAGGAGCCCTAGAACTTAGAAATTATACCTGTTCCTTTACAGGGTTGGGTTAAGGGGTGGGGAGGTGAGGGGGGGCTCGACTATTTTGTTCTCAGCGACGGGTTTGCGGCGTTGTCATTCTGCTGCATTAATCCGTTTTACATCCGTTTACAAGTAGTGCATCGATAGTCTCTGTTGTGATCCTTGTGACGATGTCACTCACTGCGTTAGAGCGTTAGACACTGCATTAATCAACGACAGGTCGTGGATCAATTTTGATGCTGCGGCGGATCACGCACTGTGGTTGGCATCCTACTGTTTTTGTTTTTTAATTATTAGTTTTACTTTTGTTTGTTCAATCTTTCATTGAGTGTCTATCGCCAGCTTACATTGTATAGCGTCGTCTGTTGCAACTTCGCGATTGGGATTGGCTTATTGCGGTTCGCGTGTGAAGAAGGGACCGGAACGTCGTTTCATCGACGGCATTACTCTATCTTGTGGGCGCAGGGTGGGGCTGGGCCAATGATATTGTTGTGTTCCAAAAACTTAATTTATTTTCTAGATGTGCTTAAAGGCTGAAATAGCACCAAATCGATGCATATCGACCCAGAAAACTGGCCATTGCTGGCATGGTTGTCCGATGAGGTCCCTTCGCCAGTGGCTTCACATGTATGCTGTCATTTGAGCCTCTGCCAAGATGTATACTGTCAAGTAGAGGACATAATTCAGCAAGGTTATTGCTTTTGAGGGGGGGCCTATCGCTTTTGCAGGATTTAGCTACAATGTCAACATATATAGCTGAACATATGTTTAAAAAAACATGAGGGAATATGGTCATCGCATGTCATCGCTTTCTAGGGGAGCCTCTCGTGTTTTTTGTATAGGTTTTAGCCAAACTCCTGAAATTAACGACGACTTGTTGCTAGAATCAGTCCTTACACGTTTTGGCGGTTGATTTGGCCGTATCAGGTCGCACCTCAAAGGCATTAGAAAGAGGTATCTGCGTCTGCGTCTAGACCGCCAATGGAAAAAAAAGGGGATGGCGCGTTTCGCCTCCCTTAACCTCACTGCAGGGGAACCTGACTGCGTGTAAACCTCGCGTACAAAAGACATCTCCCGAGGTGCGACCCGTGTTTTGACCGTCGACCAATCGCTCGCTCCGTCGACCCATCGAGCGAATCATCTGGGGACACCCGCTGGCGTCCAACTCTTTGAGATCATGCTTCCTCTCACCTAGGTCTGAAGTGGGTCGAATGAAGAACCTTTTTCGGGACACCCGCTGGGGAAGGAAGTGGGTCTGAAGTGGATCTGCTCATGATCGGGATCTGCTCACCTTATGAAAGGTTTGACCTGGTCATGAAGACGCCTGTACGTCTGTAAGGCTGTGTGAGTCCAAAACCGCCGGGCCTTAACCCAGCCTAGTGACCCGCTGGTCAACGGATGGGCTCCCCCCCAAAGGTCACTCTACCAGTGCTTTAGGTTCCAAAAGAAGATAATGATTGAATGAAGAGTTGAAATGTAAAATACGTTTAACTAAGACCCTGTCTGAAACGGGTATCATGGCCTCCTATTGATTTGGACTATATACACAAAAACTTAAGTTGAGCAGAAACTCCAGGCCAGCACCGAGCTGAACATCGGAACAAGATAGCAAACATGAGCAGAACGGGTCATCAGGCCAGCTAGCAAAAGTTGTTCAATGGAAGGAAGATAAGCTTTTACAGGTGAGACGACATCCATGGTAAAAGCAACAAACCAAAAGCTGGACCTAGTTCCCAATGAATGATTCCAGGACCAATGAGGCTCCTGCCATTCAGGCGAAGAAAAGGATGCATAAGTGATAGCCTAATGTAATGGGGATGATCTCACAAGCGCTCAAAGTGTAATGATCTTTCCACACAACTGTGGGTCAAGAACCAGAATACATCCGCTTTGTTACATCGTGCCCCACCCAGAAACCCCTCTTGTAATCTATAATATAGGACACGAAATCACACAACAATGGTCTCTTCCGACTGCTCCCGTTTCTCTCCCTTCCTTTGTGCTCCGAGCCACGCATCAAGACTGCTGCCGGTGAAAAGGCCTCTCCAGGGCGAGGTACGGGTACGACAGTTGCTGGTGGTGAAGTGGTCAAGAGCAAACCGGAATCATCGTTTCTGTCAGTGCCCCAGGACACAGGACTCTATGGATGCCTCAAATCCGTGCCGAAGCGTCTTGGAATCAAATCCGTGCTGACACGCCATTTGCGCCACATCCACGGATGAGCAGGCCGTCGGCCGTGTCCCCGCCTGACCAGGCTCCTGAAGTGCTGAGCTGAGAGACTGACTCATCTCGTGCTGAAGACAGCTAGTGAATAACAAGTGCTTCTGTGGTAGAATCGGTAGAATTTGTTTGGTCCAAACAGTGTTTGCTGGAGAATCACAACAACAGAGGACCTTGGCCCAATTCTTGTATTGAACCGAGGACCTCGTGCGATCCAAAGCCGTCGCAGCTCTGAAAAAGCGATGAGCGAAAGTGAAACAGGCCATTTGGTCATTTGGCCTCTTTGGTCTAGCGAGGATGCTCGCCGCAACAGACTTGCTACCATACCTTGGGCAGCTCCTGGAGCTTGGAGGGATCAGTATTGAATTGGAATATATATATATATATTATATAGTTATATGTATATTGGGTCTATCCTATTACCAGTAACAGTGGACGATGATGGTTCAGTTGCAGGCCTTGTTCAAGAAGAGTGATTTGCTTGTTTACCGACTGTTACTGGCAACAGGACAGACCCAATATATAATATATATACACGTATATACAATATATACACGTACGATGAATGGTGATGATGTTGCCTTGGGTCTGTCTTGTGATCAATGCAGAAGAAGTGCTCCGACCGGGTTCACCCTTTTGTCAAGGTCTGCAAGATCAAACAAAATATATATCGAGATTAAAACTTTCTATAAATCTGTTTTGGACAAAAAACCAAAGAAAAACGCCAGGTACGACAGACCATGCTGAAAAGGAGTGCAATTTTTAGGCCACAAGAAACACAAAGATTCCGAAGATTCGAAGATTGCTATGATGTATTATGATGTGCTATGGCACAAACAAACACTAAAATTTGGAGTGAGAAGCCCAGCGCCGAAGCGACTGCCTTGAAAGAATCTCTGAATCACCCGCAGAAAATGTCACACGCAGAAAATGACACGACATTGATCAACGCATCCGAGGAGGTCGACACGTAGGTCGAATGAGTCAAAAGGGACATCAACAAGCGCGACACGAACATCATCATCCGATTGTTGATTGTGGTTGCCTCTTTTTCATCTATCTGTGTGTGGTTCAAAAGAAAGGCCCAGCAGTTGCACCCGGGAATCCAAAAACTCGACTCTCCAGCACAGGGTCGTGCTACCTTCCAGAGTTCTTCCGGCTACCCATTTGACCAGAGACCTCGAGACCTCCGCGCTCCTGAGATCTCTTCGAGAATCTCGAGCCTGCGGAGCAAAGCCGCTCCCACTCCTCGGGCCGCCGGCCGCGGCGCCCCCGCCAGGGCCGAGGGCCGAGGTTCGGGTGTTCGGGAGAAAGTCGACCCTCCCAGTTGGAGGTCGGAGAAGGGAAGTCTGGTGGGAAGGACGGTGCATAGTTCATCAACCGATGTTGGCGTTCACTTTGGATGAAAAGGCCTTACAATAGCGTGATGTGGCAAAATGAATGTGAGGCCCCAGTGAGGCCCCAGTGAGGAACAAGTCCAATGTCCAACAAATGTTGCACATAATCACTAGACATCCTCACTCGCGTGTGATCATCCAAAGGAAAAATGCACAGAAATGAACCAGTTAACAGGTATGCGGTAGTCGCGCGAACCTGAAGCGGTGTGTCGACCTTCACTGGCTACTTGGAAAGCGATGTGCTTTGCGCCGATCAACAAATCACATGCGTCTTGGGGTCAGGGGGTCGATGATGGTCGATGACAACCTCTACCTGTGGCGGACCTCAAGAAGCGCATCCGCCTTGGCCAAGAAACGTGTGTACCGTGCCGTATACTTCAGGAGGAAGAAACATATGTCTTCTTCCCGGGCCTTGTTACATCTATGTGGATCAGCCGCGGTCGTTCAATCTTGCAACAAAAAAAAGTTTTGGAGGGAGGAAATTCAACCGTGTGAGGTGACATAAGCGTCTTGCAGGTTGTCAATTTGGAACCTTCAAGAAGAACAGCGTTTGTCCTAGCGGTGTATGAATGTCTTTTGATTCCACAGCAAGCAAAAAAATGAATCATCTCCAAACACATTGTATATAAGCATGATAAGTATGTATAAATTCCTTAGTCAATGGCAAAACCAAAGTCAAACCCTGGTCCTGGTCTTGTGAATTGGTGAGTTCCCATGTCCAGCCCAAAAATCCCAAACATGCAACAAATGATAAGAATGATCTGCTGGTAACAGGAAACACCAACTAACACAGATTTTCTGAGTGTGGAACCACTGAAAAAGAATGACAAACAATACCAACACCTGCTGGACATGAGCAAGCCCCAGCTTACGCTGGAGTGGCTCCAACGCTCTTGCACCAAGCCGCTGTGGTGACCGGAGGGATATCAAAGCTCTTCTTCTTTCCGCACATCGCCCTGAGAACCGAAACGAAGCACAACTCCACTAGACATTGGGATAGATCCAAGCCATAATAAAATAACCCCGGTGTGGATAGATCCACTGAAAACGGGATCCTATAAACCTCAAAACTATATTATATACATTATATATATATACACTATATATATACACTATACGGACTTGATCTATATTAGTATCCATCTCACTGGGTTTTGGTTCTGGTGCCAAAGAAGGCCTCTTTCATGAGTCGTGAGTCGTCAGACTCTAACATGTCAGCCAGCTGGACCGCTGGATCCTCAACGACCCGAACAACATCGTCCTTGTGCTCCTCAGCGATTTGGATTTGGGAGCTGGGAGACTCCCCAAACCAGGTTTGTTCGTCTGTTTGTCTTCGTTTGTAGGCGAGTCACCTTATTTCATCCTATTTCAATACAGACCGAGTGCGTTTCGCTGAGCTCCCCAACTCTTTATTGGGCAAAAGTCAAACGAGGCCGATCATCATCCCCGCATGGTGTCCCTAATAATTTACCTGTGAGAGCAAACTGTCCATCTTGTCCCATCCCAAACACTCCATGGCACTGGTATGGAAGGGATATATTAGGGTGGTTTGGGGGGATCAACGTAGCCATATGTACCGTACATGCAATATGGAGTGTCTAGACATGGAGACCCTTCTCACTTCGGACAAGCCGAGATGCATCTCTGTCTGATGCTGGTGCACCAGCTTCTCCACGAGTCCCATGAAATCCGACGAGACGCCTCCGAGATCACAGCTCGGGCGGATGTCTCTGTTTGTTTTCATGGTTCCCTGCAGTTGTCTAACGCTTCAAACAGCCGTTTGGTCTAACCAGTAGCCTGAACACGGATTTATGATAACACAATTATGATAATTACAAGTGATTGTTACAACAATGTTACAACACAATAGATTGACTACACATTTGATAACAGTTGTGTATTCCATGTGTATTTCAGTTTCATCCCGTGCTTTCCTGAACATCGTTTTGAGTTAGCTATAAACAGTGACCATAATGACGAAGAACTTGGAGACTTGGAGAGTCGTTTCTTGAATCATGTGCATGCATGTCTGCTTCACACCAGGAAGATTGTCTGCTTCACACCCGAAGAATGATATTTCCACAGGTTGAATTCTCTTTCTGATCCCAAAAACCACAAGGGAGCTGGCTTTTCCTGGAGAACTCGTCGCAAATTGCGTGTGTCACAAATCATGTGACACCACAAACCAGCCCTACGACACCGCCGCAACAAAAGAATCCGCCAACTAACTGCGAGGCAAAAAAAATGACAAAAGACTGGTACCGACTGGTACCTGTACGAGTACCATCTCGTATCCCTCTTCTAAAAGTCCTTAAAAAGTGTAACACTCCCACAGACTGGGAGAAAGCACCGGCTTCTGTACACTCTACAAATGGGTTCGTTTCCCATCTCAGCAAAAACAGCTCGAAGGTCAGGACAAAAAAACAATGAAAGCACACGCGTGCCGCTTGCGCCTGCTCTTACGGTAAGCGAGCAGCCTTTGAGAGAAAAACTCCTCAAAGCGTTGACTGCAACGCTCTGAACTTGACCCCCCTGCCGGCGTCTGGCCTTCTCGAGGTCCCAGTCCTGTGGCGAACCATTTGGTTGTGGACATCAACAAAAAGAAATGAAAACCAATTCATACAAAGGATCTAGACTTGGTGGTTGAGTATGAATGATGTTCAAAGAACCTCAATAACTCAAATGACCAACGCTTAGGCTTGGAGGAACTCTTAGCTGCCAAGCTCCTTTGCTTCCATGCAACCACCAGATTCATGCTTCTGCAGCCCACAAGTACGCCAAGCAGCATCCACCTCATTTTCACAAGCCCCTTTGCGTTTCCCATTGGTGGTTTATCACAATGTCACTGTCAACAAATATTTATATAAGGAATCCCCCCCTACAGCCCTACTAGTAAGGTCCAACTTCTTCAATCTAACCGCCCTTTGGCAAATTATATATATATACACCATCTGGCCAATTTGTTAGATGTGAGTACCACCAAACCAAATCAGGTTCGTGGAGCCCATGTTTTTCACCAACAAAAACTCCCTTGGCAACTTCAACTCCGGTCAGATCCGGAACTCCGGCACACGGAGTGGGTCAGATCGGAGTGGGTCAGATCGGAGTGGGTCCTTGCTACAGGTGACCGACCTACTGCAGAGTCCCTGCTTTCACTATGGCTGCTTGTAGGGAAACTGCAGGTTCTGCAGGGCTAAGATCTACATCATCAAGGTACCAGCACCCTTCGACGGGTTGACTCAAAAAGCCTTTCACAGACTATTCAATTGAATATTGTGGGTGGTAGTGGTGACCCTGCTATTCTGAAAATAGGGTTCTATAATATGGTATGGTTCGATCCTAAACCTCTCTTCCTCCCATTTTGCTCCAGTCCAACGCGCTCGTGCTGTCCTAATCCTCCCACTTGGAATGATGAAGGCTTCGACCAGGAACGAATCCCGTCGAAGAGTCCAACTGACCGGTGCGAGAGTTGGACCAGAACCCAGGAGACCGTCACCTGTCGTCGATTGGTTGACGCCCTGGTCAATGCGTGAGGGAAAACTAAAGCCGGAGCGTGGAACAAGCAAAAACCGCCTTGAAGATCTTGAAGTCAGGGGAGCCAAGTGTTCATAGAACTAAAGCAGGTCTCTTACCGAAGGTTCTCTGTCAACTTACAGTGGTGAGGCTGGGGCACCATGAAAGTACGCAAATGATGCCATGGTGACGAGAATCCGCGTCGTCCCCCGTCTCACCAAACAAAAGGACTTGCTGATGGCATGTTTACAGTCTTTATCACTGCACAAAACGTAAGCTCAAAATTTTCCGAACCCATGCAACCTCATAAATCCAAGTAGCCTATTCACCTATATTCCTACTGTCCATGTTCATGTTCCTGCGCGTGGAACTCACGAAACCGGGTGGTGCTTGCCGGACTCGACTGTACGGACGATGAGATGGGGGTTTTGCATTGCATGGTTAGGCTTCGCAGGCTTATTGACATGGGTATGCCCTGTTTCGTTGCGACACCTGAATAGCCAAGCATAGACCAAATGAATGGTCAATACCTTGAACCTGGTTGACCTCGGCTCATGAATCATGGAGCTCCATGGTGATCTGTCCAGTGGGGGGTTGACATGGGTTCCATGTCGCCCATGTCAAACACGAAGGTCGGTGTAGGTCGCAAGGTTTCAATCGACCTACGTGCGAGGTCCCGAAAACCTTTGGGTCGCGAAACCCCATTGGCGAAAAAACCTGACGTTGATGTCCATGGGTTTCAACACACATGGTTTAAAACCGTGTAAAAAGAAGAAGGTCCACTACACCGACCCACTGGTCAATGCACAGGAAAGCTCTCATTTTTCGGAACAGTCCAAGCCTGAACGGTTGGAGAAGGAACGTGCATCGAAAGATCCTGCAGGCCGTTTCGAGGAATAGAAGCATGTCTAGCTGCTGGATGTTTAATAATCTACAGGATAGCCATAGTTTGGGGGGCTGAAAACAAGGGTTCCTGCAGATTCTCACTTAAACCAATTCATTGATTATTTCGCAAAAAAACAGATTAAAAGCTCCATGCACAGGATTCGACTAAGAAGGACACAACTAATGTCTTCTTTCTTGAGCTCCTGAGGATTTCTTGTTGAAAACACAAATTAAACACGTCCACCGTGGATGGGGTGCACGCTCACTAAAGCTCTCATCAGGTGCGATACATCCACGTGTCGGAAGAAAGGGTGGGTGGGGTGTCCATACCTCTCTCTCTATCGTTTTCTTCTTCTGTATTCTTGGTAGCTCGGGCTTAGTATGGCTTAGTTGTTTGAGGATTTAGCAAACCGCACAACAAAAATAATGCAGCAAATGTCCCACAAGGCTCCTATCGACCTTTCAGCCCGCTCCTGTCGCTTTGGATCGCACCTCGCTCTTGGCCGCACCTGCGCTTGAAACAGGCCGTGAGAGGAGCCTGGATTTGTTGGTCGAAAGCCATTGGTTGAGCGACAAAGAAGCATGTAGAACCGTTGTTTTTTTTTTGTTTCCGAAGCTTGGCTGTGTACCCCGCAAGCTTCAAACAATGTAAGATTCTGGAAACCCTCATCTTGTACATCAAGATAAGTCTGCAGCCAGAATGGTCACACCCATTTTTGTTTGCATGCTTTCACTGCCATTTTCTTTTGCAGTGGGAAAAGGAGTCGCCACGGAATCGCAAGCTCTCTTGTGGCAATCACGGAGGCCCTTGGTTATTTTGCATTATTTGGCCTTTGGGATACTCGGTGAGGCCAGGGGTGGTTGACCTGGGGTCGGAAAGATGTCCATTCCAGTCCCATGGAGTGTCTGGGATTTGCTCCAAGACCCTGCAAAAAAAGGTTGAGATTTCGACCACCTACCCCCCTTCAGGGTGCGCAAGTACCCCCCTTCTTGTTGACTGACTAATTGGTGATGCACATGGCTCCATGGCCGAGCAAGTGAAATTCTCGATTCCTGGCTCACTGATTTGACCCAGGAATCGCACATGTGTGCCGTGTTTTTTCCTCCAACATGTGCCGTTTGTTGTTGGTACTGCTACCCACAAAACAGTCAGGTACGGTACCACGAAAAGAAACGGACACCATGAGAGATCCACAGGACGCACGGGACCCGGGCCTAACCACAGGACCCACGACCCACCCCGTTGGATCCGAAAGCCGGCCCAGGCCGGAACACCGTGCCTGGCTCGGGTGGCTCTGGAATTCCATCGTCCTGACCGCTCGACAGGCCGGACCGGGATGTGATGTGGGAAATGACCTTAGTAGCTTCTTGTTACTGGTAGAATGCTACTATAGTAGTAATGCCAGGAGCCCCTAGTAGCGTCCTTGCTCCTAGTAGTAATGCCAGGAGCCCCTAGTAGCGTCCTTGCTCCTAGTAGTAATGCCAGGAGGAGTGTCTATGAGGTGTTATGAGGTATTTCAAGAGGTGACTTTGGTATTGTAAAACACATGTTTTCTTATGACATCTTTATGTATAATGAAGTGTCTATGACCAAAAGAAGCTCTCTTTTGGAACAGACTTGGAGAATTCATTGCTTCTGTCTGTCACACAACGTGCAAAGACGACCAGTGTAGGTTCTCTTCAATTCAACTCCCATGAGATGTCCTTACTATATTATATGTCTCTTCCTACTCGGATGCCATCGGACCAGAAACCGGAACCAACCTGTTTGTTCAAAAAACACGTCCCACGTCAGTCTCACGTACGCCAGTCCCCCGTACTACCAGTCTTAGACTGGTCGAAACCGTTCGTCAACCGAGATCTCACCGAGATGGTCCACGAGATCATCGTTTCGATGCGAAAAGGAGAAGGTCATGTCTCACACCACGCAGCAGGAGATCTCACACGGGGAGAAGGTTCAAGTAGAGAAGGGGCGGTTCTCACACAAGGCGATCCGAAAAACAGAGACAGAAGCTCATTGATCTGATCTATCTGAACTGTGAAAAGCCATACGAACCGGATCCTTTGACCATGACATCGACTCCCAAAAGTGTGGTCTCCTCGTGGAATCCTGGAGGAGACCATCATGACCCCATCTGACTACTGGAAGCTTTCCACCAAACAAGGAGCTATAGATAGCTATAGCCTATAGCTATATAGATCCACCGGAATACGCGGTTCGCTAAAAACAACTAAACAAAGCTTCCAGCTTCCTTGCCTGCTATGTTCAACTGGGTCCGGAGATTCCGATTTCGCGTTCGCGGTCCGGACCAAGTTCGGGTGCAAATCCCAAGTTCGATGTTGGTGGAAGTCAGGGGATGCCAACCATTTGAGGGGTCATTGGAGGCGGTTCATCGACCTGACCTCCTGGGTTGGAGAGTCATGCATTGATGGTTGGACGCTTGTCGAATTTGATCGATGGCCGAAATGCACACAACGCAATATTGTGAGACCCTTCTGCTTTGGTGGGCAGAAAGGTCCATCGACAGTATCAAACCCATGATCATACCCGGATTCTGCCTTTTTGCTGCTTTTGATGGATGAAAAGGCAAAATACATTGTCACAGTTGGAGGACTGCAGGCAGGTGTTAATTACTACATCGAAGTCACCTTATGCTTGTTTGACTCAAGAGGTCTCTCTACAGAGATCGAGATATTATACAGTATAAGAATCAAACCCCTTCCAAATGTACTTGGAGCCCTAGAGAAACAATGGCACACTTCCACCGTTGCGGACGGAGGCGTATCCCGCTGGTGCACGGTGCGGGGAGCTTCTGCCAAGGCACGAGCTCTTTGGCGGGAATGGCCAACTGCCTGGGCTGATCTCAACCGGACATGGTGGAAAACCAGAAGAATAGTTGGAAGAAGTAACAAGTGCTTTTTTTGTTCAACAGTTCTCCTGACAATCCTTTTTTGAATAGATCCCCCGGCGGACCACGCGGTAAAACAAGGACCACGGCGGACCACCGCGGTGGGACCGGCGACGTCCCGGACGGGTACGGACGTTGACGCGAGGTCTGTAGCTGGAGAAGTTGGGTCTGTCGGTTCTGTAGAAGGCGTTCCCTTTTGTAGACTCTTAGATGTAGACTCTTGTAGTTTGGAAAAGGCTTTACAATCCAAAATGTCTACGGATTGCTGACCCCTCAGTTCCGCTGGAAAATAGTTTGAGTGATTGATGTTCAACTGCTCATGTTTGGTGGGGTGTCAACTTCTTCAACCAAAACCGCTGTGGCAGGTTATGGATTGAGCCCATCTTCAAGAGGTGAACCCCATCCCCGACCGCTTCCCGACCAACAAGCTGCGAGGTCTCTCCAAGTGATGGAGATCTGGCCATGGCGCTCAGTTCAGCATAGAGAGTACGGAGTAAAGGCCAAGTGGCTCTGATGTTTTTTTTCCCTGAAAACCTGAGAAACAATCCCCCTTTCACACGATGAATTGAAGGCTGGGAATGCATTGGGCAAAAATAAGGATGCTCACCCGTTGTCGACATAGAAAAAGCAACACGTGGCATCTTCAAAAGTCCTCCAACACACAGGTCGCGCCGGGTTTCAGTCGCTATGTTATAGTCAGTCTTTGTGGTTTCCATCAGCGTGAGAAACTATGATCAACTGAAACTCAAGAGCGTGACGACTATTGGTTACTATTGGCCACTCCCCGGACTTCCGACTTTGGGGCTTGACATCTGGACAGCGTTTTGGACCGCCAAATGGCTGCAATATCTGAACAGTATATATATATATATGTGCCCAGTATGACCTGGTCCTTTACCTCATTGAGTAGTGCTTTTGTATGACCAACTCCAGTAACATGTGGTGTTTTGACCTGTAGGGTAATACATATCATTTCAACAAAAACACACACAAAGGTATACATCGATTTAGAGTGAACCACTTCAAATTCCAAGAGATTCCAGCACACTCAACCTGGACACCCATTGGGACTTTGAAAGGACCAATATGACCAATCAAGAACTGGCTAAAACATGCTAAAACAACATCTTGTCCCATTGGCTTGCATTTGCCGCAGGCTTCGTTTTTTGGCCTTGAAACCCAAGTTCCTCAAGCTACGTCTCGCAATCTATTGCAAGTGTCTGGCCAGCCTTCCTCTTCAGGAAACTTGAGGCTAGCTGCAGCTTGGGTCGGGCACATCCCAGTTTCACTGAGTCTTGGCCAGCTGCTAATCCCCGTCAAATCCTTCCATCAATTCCAGGTTTCAGGTCACTAAAAGCAGCTTACTTCGTACCAACCAGGAACCAGGTCCATAATGGATAGGTGGTGATGATAGGTGTCAGAATAGGAAGACCTCCAAGTCACTAGTATGAGGCCGGAAGATTCTGTGACCTCTTCCAGTGATTGAGATTGATCATGTACACTGCCCAATTGATCAGAAGGATTCTTTGACCTCGAAGCCATCATGCACCGCACATTGATGAATCTGACCCCAAGATGATCGACGATTGGATTTTGATCCAGGTACATTCACGGGAAATCAACTTTGCTGTACTATGAACAAATGCATGCAAGAGCCAATCAATCTGCCTGCAGGCCTAAAAGGAGCAAAAGACCAAAAATCACTGGACTGCCTTGAATGGTTCGGGAAGCATTCATACTTCCTTTGCAGGTTCCTCGAACACTGTCAGGATCACGGCATAAGCAATGAGCAATGAGTTTGAAGCCTCAGAGAGGGTTACAGTGTCTTCACCGTTTGGGGTCTGCAGAAACGCTTTCCGTTGCGAGAGCGCAACAGCAGGATCACTTGTCTGATGGAAATCACCACGCTTTTTTGCTTTTCTGATGAACAAGAGAGTCACTTCTTCCGTTTCTTTTGTTTTCTCTTGTCAATCATCTTATCATATCTTATCGGGTTAGAAACACCGTCAACGTTGCAAAAGTGGCAACGCGGATGTCGTCCAAGAATATGCGTCCATCAGCAAGCAGCAGTCGATAAGATCAGCAAACCTTAAGAAAACAACACAAAGCAACAGTTGCTGTGTTTGTTGTCGAAGTTGGTGTTCCTTCTTGTTTCTGTTTAAGCTTCACCAGGTGTAGACTGCATGTAGACCACCAACGGGTCATGCCCCCGGTCGGATGGCCTCGATTCTTCACAACCGCACACGGGAGCCCGGCCGGCGCGGCGGGAGCTATATTTCACTTCTCAGATCCTCCGTGGGAGAGAAGCGCTGTTTCTGGATACTCCTGTGCACCAAAAAGGAAGGTCGACCAAGCTGCAAGCCAGTTCGGGAGGTTCCAACAGGAGTTCCAGGGGTGTGGAGAGGTTTGAAAGATTAACAGATTCATGAAAATAAGAGCTTGATTATATAATATATGAAACCAGCCAAATGAGTTGGAACTACTATGGACTACTATTGGTTGGAAAGCCAATGCATTCTTGCAGGTGGAAAATTGACTAAAAGAGAAAGCTTGAAGGTCATTTTCTTGATACCAAGTACCTTGACTCGCGGCTCCTAGTGCTGACCTGTGCTGAAAGCTAGAGTTATATAGACCGGAATGATTGAACAAACACAAACCGACAAACCGGTGGATGATCTCCAAATGCAACAATCCCATCCATGCCAATGTGTTTCTTTGAGTGTTCTCTGTCCTTGCTACACCATTCCATGATGATACAGCCTGGGAACCGAATCCTTGTCCCGGATCATTCCGATTGATGGTCCGAATCGGATTCACCGGAGCGAGCGGAGCGGAGCGGCTGAGCGGCTGAGCGCCCGGGGCGGTGAGCGGCTCTTTTTCGATCCACGGTGCCACATCACCCAGATTGCCACCAAGAAACACATCCCCAAAAACATGTGGTCTCAGGGAATGAGCCGCCACTGCAGATTCCCCCAATTGATCCATGCCCTGTCAGTGCTTACTAATCGTTTGCCACACTGCCGACGCCTGATGTGTTTAAATGCCGACTGGGCGAAGACGTCTTGGACGTTGCTCGCATTGCTCACGGACACAGTCCTCGCGTTGCTCGCACGTTTTTATTTTTCGCAAGATACCTCTGTATATGAAGTTCTATATAATTATCAGTTCACAGAATTCCACTTCAATCAAGTTGTAAGATTCCTCTTGTTTCCTTGGTTTTCTATGATATGACATTCTATGAACTCTATATCATATCCACTTATTACTATAGACTATAGTAATAAGTCAGTGGTCAGGAGTCAGTAGCCTCAAAACCTTGAGTCCCTCATGAGTTGATCTGCAAGTCTCACCCCAAAACGACCTTAAAACGCGCCCCAAATTCATGTCATCAGTCTATCTCAAGATGTCCACAATGACACCGAAAGCAAGGTAGTTCTCCTAAAATTGAAAGACGTGGAGATGTTTTCTTTTTTTTCGCATACGTCAAGAGCGGTTCGCTTGCGACTAGCAAGTGGAGATGTGTAGAAATATACATTGACATCCGTGGTTTCTGACTCGCTCCTTGACATTGTTCACTCATCAGGGTGTCAACCCGGGTGGCAGGATGCCATAACTGAAATGTGAAGCCTTGGTCTTATGGATGTGTATGTTCATGGGGAGATCCCCGTTAAAGGGAAGAGTATGTCATATGTATATATAATGTGTCGTGGATGTAGATGAGAACATCATAGAACACATAGATCTAGAATGATCTAAATGGATTTTGATTCCAACATGTGCGAGCACAAAAAGCCAGGTGAAGCCTGGGCAACCAGAGAAGCAAACCACAAGCGATAGGTCAACGAGATGGACCGACCCCAGTGATCTGCCCTAACCCACCCAACCCTGCCATACTTCTCACAGCCCAATTCACCTCCAATTGCTCACATACGTTGTTTTTGGCTATTGAAGGGAGCGCTAGTCAATAAGTGAAAGGAGAGCTGCGATCACTCAGCACAACGAGTGCATTGCCTTGTAAGGAGTTCTGCATTTATGCCCCTGTAGCAGTGATGATAGGAGAGAATACACGGATGTGGGCCCAAACAAAGGCTTCCACACATGATATACCCTGCCACGGAGATCCCCCCCCACTGGGCTGAAGGTCCATGTTCCTTCTTCTAGGGTGTCGTTGCCAGGGAGGCCACTCGATGCTCTGACCCTGGATAACTCGATGCTCTTGTCGCAACGGAGTTGCTGTGTCCTACAGTAAGGTGTGAAAATGGTTGTCTCCCAATACGGAACAAGGTGTGATTTCTTCCACACCCCTGATGCTCGGTGATCTGGTCGAAACACTCCGGCCTCCGCCAACGGGTTTTTCTGTGGAGCAAAAGGTATCTGTCAAGCCAACATCAACCTGTAGTCACCGCAAACATTCACCTGTAGGGATTCTTGAGAGTGCTCTGCTGTTCGAAGTCCACGAGTCTTGGCCCATAAATGCCTTCGCAGTGCTTTCAAAGGAGACAGCAAGCAACACACCGGGGGTACGGAAAACATCAAGAGAATGAAGGAGGTCTATGGGCTCATGAAGGTTCAGATTTTGCAGAAAACGTAGATGATGTGTACTGTAACCCCAAGCAAGTGAACCCATCAACATCAAAGATCAATGTGGGGCTGTACAAACAATGACGCTTTGCCATTCATTACAACTAAACTGCCTGCTGGGGGATTATACGACCTCGTGTGTTGAATATTCAACCTTGAAGGGCCTTCAACGGCAACGCTACGTAGCGTAGCTCACCGCTCGATCCGCCCATGATGAGATGAGCCTCGTGTCGGGGGTCAAAAGGGGTCCAGCGCAATCCGACATGAAGGCGCTAGTGAGGGTCGTTTGGGGCAATCCCAAATCCGGAATCCTTTCTGTTTCACTTGGGTCCTGTTCTTCGGCCATGAAAGACCAGTCTAAGACGCGAAACACGCACCCCGTCCTTGGAATGGCTTCGACGTCTGAAAGCGCGGGTGACGCTGGCGGCGGGTGCAACGAGCCTCGACCGAGCATGGTGAACCACACTTGGGAACATGAGTGCGCACTTATATACAGTGATGTGTGTGGCCAATGTTGGGCCCAGGTAGAATCCGACTTTGGGGGCCAATCAGGTGGGTTGGATGATCACAACGATCAACGATGTTAGGACTTGCTGTCCATCATCTCTGGGTTTGATGGACCAAAGCCCTACAGTAAGGAAAAACTTAGTCTCGCAATCAGATTCTGGAATCCGCAGGTGCAGGCCATTGGTGCATATTATTGGTACGTGCCTAGGGTTATGCTCGGCTTGCAAGGCTATTGCAAGGTTCTGATTTTGTTTGTAAAAGTCAACATGTCCTTTCCAGTTTCTTTATTGGGGAAACTGGAGCGATCCAAGATGACTTGTGACGAGCCACTTCTATTGCGGGCCTCTTATCGCAGGCAGAGTTTTTCCAGGATCGATCGCTCAAAGGACCTCCAAAGAGCTGTGCAGTATCGCGGCTGTGTTTAGCTCATCATCTCAAGAGTATCTCAAAGCGCTCAAACTTGTTGGACAAAGACTCCAGTGCTTGGGGTGCCAGGGGGGTCTAACCACCGAACCTGAGGATATGGGCCAGAAGCCCTATGGATTGATCAGCACATGGATGTCCATTTGGGGCAGTTATCACGAGACCATCGACCTGGAGATCCCCCCTGGTCCAGGTCAGTCTCCCCACCAAATGATCAGATTCCCCCTAGCTGTAGCTTGCTTCTTAAGGGAAACACCAACAGGCCTCACACCAACCGCAAGTCTCTCCAACGTTCTCAACCTCGTCTCCAAATGGCTGTGTATTTTAATAGGGAGATTGCAAACAACCCCAACCAACGGGTAGAGACTGGTCAATACTTCCCATCTTCCAGGGGGTCGAACTGAGAGATCTCCCTATTTTTACATAATTTCATCACCCAAACAGATGTTCCTTCTCTACACCAAGTGGTCACATTCATTTTTCACCTCGTGTTCTTCACCGGCTGTGTCGGGTGCCTTGTCCAGGTCCGGCCAAAATGTTCAGAACTTCCTCAAAGAGAACCTCCCGACGTGCAGCGTCTGTGCAGCGTCCGCTTGGTGATGGCTGGCAGATGCTCCCAGGTCAGGGTGTTTTGGATGGTTTTTAGTCAGCCAAGAGAGGTTGAACAGCCTGATAGCCCATCCCATACGTCCCACTATGGGGTCCGAACGTTCAGGTCTCTCAACCTCGTTTTCACTGGTCTCTCTTTCACGGATTTTCCGTGCTTGGGCGCGCAGTGGCCGTGGGTTCAACGTTCTTCAACACCTGGCACCCCCTCTGCTCTTGCATCCATCAGCAACTTGATCAAAGCGCTCAAAACATCGAAATCAACACATGAAATCCATCCGACATCCTCTCTTTTACTTCTTGGGCCCGACGTGTGCTCACATCGAAGGTCCGCAACATCCGCTGACGCAAACCACGTGTGTCGAAGTTGCACCTCCACCTTCGTCTCCATGCGCCAAATGTCCAAAGCCTTCGCCTGACCTGCGCCAATTCTGTCACAGGTCCGTTGGTGCTGACGACAGCCTGCTGCTTCCACACCGTTTTTGCTCTAAAAAGAACTGAGAATCTACTAATGAAAACACAACCATATGGCAAGCTTACGCAACATGCATGTCTCACAGCTCCCTTACGCAACCTTACGCTCTTCAGGTGTTTGCTTACGCCCAAGTTCCATATGACAAGGCCTTTACTTAGTTCATCTTGGGAGGTTTCTTGCGGTGCTCAAGTGGTCTGTCTGGAATGGTCTGGACAAAAATCATACCAACCAACCCATGAAGTGTGTAACAACTGTAACAACTGTAAATCTGCCAGTATACATAAGAATACAGTAGCACCAAGAAAAGGAACCACCTGGGAAGGTTGCAGGGGTGATCATCGTGGCTACATAAGTCTGTATATCATATAAGTTTACCTGTTGCATGCTGTTGAGCCCCATGCCTGCTACATGTGTTCAGTGAAACCTTGCTCAGGCTATTGAAAAAGGGATCTTATATAAATACTGAGCTGTCACGATCCTTCTTCTTTCAACAGCTGAGTGAAAGTGATCAGCCTTGGGAGGATTAGGTCATTAGGTCTTTGGAAAAAACAGTTCTCTGCCATCAACACTTTCAGCAGGAGGGTCCTCTTCGTCATAAAACACATCAGTCTGAGTGGCTGATGGACCTTTCAAAACATTGGGATCCGTCCACATCTTCCAAGAATCAACAAAACAAAAACGTTAGCAAAACCAAACGTTTCTTTGGCCCTTCAAAAGTGGCAGGAGTTGTCCTGGTTGGTGTTGTGCTAAAAGCAGGGTTTGGACTTGAAATGCAAGGCAACTGGTCCTTTATAAACTATCTGAACATGAAGTTTAAGGTTTGGTTGTTTGATGTTTGTTGGTTTTGAGCAACACACCTTCCATCCTGATTGAAGAACATGTGTGACTTCGGGCTGATTGCAGTGTCCTAGAGCCCGGGCTTGACGCTTGGAAGCTTGGAAGCTTGCCGACCTGGCCTTTTGGGGCGGAAGGCCCTGAGGCCAGACATGTCCCCTTGGGCGGAGGATTCCAATCCATTTGAGGGCGATACTCATTTGTGCTATTAGGTGCGAATAGCGTGCGTGAAAGAAAGCAAGTTGGGCAGTTTTCTGGGAGAAAACGTTAGGTGAACGCTAGCTCCAAGCTGCCCCTTTGAGTCATCCACTCCACCAGGTCTTCGGTCCTCGTCCGAACCCCGAGGGCCGGAAACCGAAGAGGACCCTCTTCGGATAAGCGGAAACCCGAGCGGAAATCGGTTCACCGCGCATGGAATTTCCAAAAAGAAGTTGCGTCTCATCAAAGTTCTGCCAGTTACCGAAATTGTTCCGTACTCGGAGAAGCAAGCGAGCGAGCGTGGAGCGTCACCGCGTTGGCCTCCTGACGAATTATAGGGGCGCCACAAAATCTGAGATCGAAGTGGAGGGGAAGCGCCCCAAGTCTTCCAAGAGTCAAAACATGTCAAAACAGATCATTGTACTCATGCTCTCCGGAAGAATAAAAGAATTCGTCTCCGCACCAACCATCAGTGCTTCCTTGACAGCCTGCGGCAGGATAGTGCCTTCCCCATCTTCTGGAGCTGGATGTAGGGCCGTGGTTTCGAAGGGTCTGATGCAGCCTCTCTGTTGCCGTCTCAGATCAACGACCCATCGACCCGGCGCCTCGAAGCCGCGTCGCTCCTTCGATGAACTCCGAAAAGGTAATTTCTCCGTCCTGAGAACGGCAGATTCAACCAGCAGTGGCCCTAAGACAGGTTCGGTAAAATCCAAAAGCATCTGTCAATTACAGCGTAGTGCACAGTGAAGCATCCCAAAATGTGTCCTAGAAAACAGTTTTGCTCACGAAACACAAGAAAAGTTCACCCCTTTTGCCGGCGACATCAAACCCAAAACTACTACTACTACTACTACTACTACTACTACTACTACTGATACTGACTACGACTACTACTACTAATAATAGACCAAGTCACGCCATTGTCCAAAAACTCGAAGAGGCTCATGAGATCGTGATATTCCAACCTTGAGAGCAACCAGCACAGCCGGCCCTCATGAAGATGACAGAGTTTGTCAAACATGTACCCTCCGATTCACTAGCATGGAAATGGAAAACCAACTGTTTATAAAGAAGAATGGTCTTTGCAGGGGGTCATTCTCCAGTTCCATGTTAGTTAGTCAGTGTATATAGGAATCCATCATATATAGTATAATCTAGTACATGAGTCCTTAACTTTGAAGAAATGTAAAATGTCACTGTCGATTGTGGTGCCATTGACTTGTTGATCGTCAGTGATGGTGAGAAACAGAATCACTGAGCCTTCGGCCCCGTGGCAAGCTGAAATGGAACATACGGTAAAACATTGTAAGACTATATGACAAGCTATCCAAAGGACAAGACTGGCATCACTGGCTAAACGAACCACAACTGAGAATTTAAACACAAACATTGACATAGGTACAACAGTTATGATATAAATTCTATCTATATGTAATTGTTAACGACAAGCCTCTTCCCCCCAAGCGCAGCCAAACAGGCAGTCCTAAGACTCCACCCATCTCTTCATCCGAAACAGGGTGAACACCCGAGGACTCAGTGCTGGTGAGGCTGTTCAACCGGTGAGGCCATTTTTTTGTTGCAGTATCAATGCTAGTAGAGCATTGTTTCGGAAATGCATCCTCCATGTTCCAACACCTGGGTCCAATAGAAAGAGCTCAGCTAAATAGTATTAGGCCCAAAAGAGAGCGGGGAGTCCCTCACTTGCATTTCCTTGGGCCTGTTTGAACAACATCGACATCGGTATGGCCACCGGCGTAAGAACGCACACTCCACTGTCCACCAACAAAAACGGTTGCCAAGAGAGTCCCATCTGACTATAAAATTAGACTTCTGGCCATGAACTTCAAACCAACAATATCTGGCCATAACTCCAGTTTCCTCCGTGGCGACCAACATTTGACCTTCAAGTCATGAGACGTCTTTCACAATCAAAAGTGCTGAGGGTTGCGCAGCTCGCTGGGCAAAGGGCACCGGACATACCCCCGGCTCCACGCGAGTGAAAGGACATTCTTAGATCCCAGCTTCTTCAAAGCGACCTTTTGAACATAACGTCCCTAAGTGTTCCTTCGGAGGCTGATGGGTCACCTGAAACCTCAAAACTCAAAAGGATCATGTTGAAATATATTGAACAACCAGGTCCCATTTGTCTATCATCCATGTCAGAAATCCCATTTGCTTTATCCATCTTTATCCCATTCCCAGGTTGCCGATGCAAAAACCTTGGGGAAGTGGCTCCACGTCCAATCAAGTGGCTCCAACTGTCCAATCCAAAAGTTCAACTTTGGATCGCTCACCAACTTGGAGAACTCCTTCGTTCCGAGCCGAAAAAAAGCTCCGTGAAGGAAACAATGCTGCTGGACCGTGCTGCTGGGTTTCGCTTGGGAGGTCAACATCTGACCCCCCCAAAAAGGCGAATAGATGCGAAGCACGGGGGCTCGAAAGCACTCCTTTTTGATCTGACTATGACCCAGAACGGATGTGATCAAACAATCAAGCATGATCAAACCAAGTACCAGCACCCAAAGCGATTCGAGCTACTGCCATAGGGTCGACTCCCGGACATCGCCCCGAATGTGGCGGTTGCATGGCTTGAAAGCTCCCAAGTGGATCAAATTACAATCTGGAAGACTAACATGGACCCTGAAAACCACTGGTTGCTAGAGGAAAACAATCTTCCAGCAACCCATTGTCAGGGTCCATGTTAGTTTTCGGGAGGGTACCAAATTTAGTGTGGCAGGTGGGATGGTTAATGATCATACCTGGTACCGGGCACAGGGGCCTCCTCCTTCTAAAAAAGGCTTTCCGGGTGTGGGAACTGACTGCGCACGCGCATAGGATTCTAAGGGAAGAGAGCTGCACTCATTCTCAATATCAAGCAGCATCGCGATGGTCTGGCCAGGGTTGATTCCATATGCACATGAAGAAACTGAATAGACAATCTAATTATCGCAATTATTCAAGTCTGGTGGGGGATGACACTGGGTTGCTGCCTTTAATTCCGCTTCTCATTGAGGCAGGGCCGGCCGTCGCCTCATAATTGATGGTTCCGTCTCCACTGGTGTCCATGGTCTGGAAAAGCTTCCGGATCTGCGCGAGCGGAGAGATCCGCCCGCGGAACCAGCGAGGCGAGGCAGCACACATGGAATTGGGGGTGCAAATTGGTGAGCTGGTGGAAGTCACTTATATTCCCTGGGCCTAAAAGCAGTCGCATAATCGCGCTAGTTGCTAGATAGCATAGCCGTAGCTTTAGCTGAGGGGAAAACTTTGCTCTAGAATGCTGTCTCTTTGATGCTTTATAGTAACTTACAATAGTGAAGTCATTGTGCCGCCAGGGGGAGACTGCATTGTTGACACCGTGTGTATGCTTGTCGGTGTGGCCTTCGGAGCAAGTCATTGGCGATGTCGGTTATGCAGCCAGAGAGACACTGAATTATTTACATCGTGTGTGTGTGCTTGTCCATGTGGCCTTCCAACCAACTACCGTTTACAGCAAACCACGGCTTGCACCAACCACCTCACACCAAACGACGGTTTGCACCAACAGCCGTTTACACCAAACCACGGTTTGCACCAACCACCGTTTACACCAAACCACGGTTGCACCAACCACCTCACACCAAACGACGGTTTGCACCAACCACCGTTTACACCAAACCACGGTTTGCACCAGCCACGGTTTGCACCAGCCACGGTTTACACCAACCACGGTTTACACCAAACCAACAGCTGCTTTGCTGCTGCTGATTCCCGGCTCAGAGAGCACAAGTCTACGTGCGGGTGGCTTCGACAGCGAAGCGGTGTCAAAAGTGATATATAACTATTGTTTATTGACTTTTACAGGTAATAGGACAGACCCAAGTTATATTCTTAATACCCAGCACATCGTGGCACATCTTTGTCAATGTGGTGTTACAAATGAGATGCTTTTGTAGGGTGGAAGTGTCTCCTGAGTAGCTACAATCAACATGGACTTAGTTGGATGAGTTAACGCTTAGAGAAATCAGGTCTTCCCTCTGCATGTCATTCTCCAAAGGGCGCGCGCGGGACCCATGTGTTCACTGGCGGTTCTACCTCTGGAACTCGTTCTTCACCCTGGTTTCACCCGTTTACAACCGACCTACCGTCGCCCGTGGCGGCCCAGGTTACCCGGGCCCAAACCCGTTCCTATTTCAGAATACTACCTAAAAACACGTCAGCCAATAAAGTGTCCTGTCGGTTCTGATGGAGAATCTTCCCTCGTTCGCTCGGTCCATGGGCCTGGCGCTCGGTCCATCCGGATCGGACGTCGTGACGTTCGGCCTTTCGAGTGTACGAGGCAATATCCCTCTGCTTCTCCCGGAAGGCCAAGTCCTGGAAGTGGATTGGACCTCTCCGTGGGCATCGTGGTAGGTTTCTTTTCTTAAAGAACGGCCGGAGAGGCCCCAGCGCATGAACAAATGGAAAGATCACTCCATGTTTTCAACATCACCTTCACACGCAAAACATCTGGATCAATAATTCTTCTTATAAAGACCTGAAAAGGGCTCCTGCGCTGAGCCTTAAAACTGCCACCCCTGCTGGCCGTCAGCTGACGTGTCCCGGCGAGCTCAGCCCCGCAGAGCTGCTAGAATGATTGAGGCTTGGGCTTGGGTCTATCTGGGTCATAAATTGACCAACTCATAGGCTTCCCCACAAAACACAGCAAGTCATTGGCGAACAGCTTGATGGACCAGGTAGGTTTCTATAAGGAGCCACTCATGAAAGACATTGAAAGACATACAAGCGTCCATGTATGGTGTTTGGTCTAATCCGACATCCACAACATCACATCTGTGCGTGTATTCCGGTTTCCGTGCCACTTAGCTGGAGATGCCGCAAGGAAAAAAACATGTTCAAATTCTGTACATCCATCTGAATATGACTCTGTGGTGTACAGTACATATGTCACCAGGTAGATGAGTAGATCTTATTTATTCTAAGGTATCTATGATTGAGAAATATATGAAATATTAAGAATAAGGAACATATAGGAACATGACGTCTTCATCCTTTTTTCCAAACCTGGACACACCGACCTCCCGCACGCACCAAATCAGGAACATGTCAACCTCCCGCACGCACACGCGGTGTTCCTCGTCCGAATTGGCGGTGCGGAGGGTCTGTTGGACGAAGACCGCGTTCCTCCGCGGAGCGGTGCTGTGGGACGTGCCCGGCGGAGCGATGCTTCTTGGGGCGAGGCTGCAATGAGGCCCCCTCTGCTGTGTGGCCCCCTCTTCTCGTTCTGTTCGACCCAACAAATGGAAGGCCGGAAATTGAATGGACCAATGGACCACAGAAGAAATGAAAGGGTTAAAAGCCCTGCTGAGAAGAGAGAGAGAGAGACCCTCTAATCGCTCAGTGAGCTTACATCCCCAAACACATCAGCGAAATGTGGATCCTAGGGAAGGGATACGTGAACATAATTAATTTATATACACTTATTTTTCAAATCTTAAGTAAAACAGATTGGACACGATTCGTATCATGAGATTCAAGAATCACTATCAATATCAACCCTTTAACCATCCCACTACTGGATGGGTCAATTCACAAAACATCAGCCCAGCCCAGAATTTTCACAAAGAAGTTTATACTGGGAAACACAACCAAAACTCACTCCAACTCCGATAAGCATGCTAAAAACAATTGAGTCAAAGCCCCTGGGAACTGCGCACAAAATTGCTTTGGACTGGTCACTACTGCAAACTAGGATGGATAAGGATTCAGGTGAGGGTCTACTATGTGCCGAGCCCTTCCATGACGCAACCAAGCAAAGGTTGAATGCCATCCCTCAAAAAATGCCATCGAGGGAGAGTTTTATACATTCGCATGGTCGAAGCAAAGCACTCCTCAGATGTTTTCCGTGTCAGTCCCTGAACCCCTTCTCAAAAAATACATACAAATACCAAAGCTATTGATAGTTGCGGAGGCAATGCACCCCGCAAACCAGTTGGAAGGCATTTATTTTTGACAGGAAGCTCTGTGTGTTTCGCCCCGGTTTCTTTGCTTTTCTTCTGTGTAATGGTGATGGTTGCGCCCAACGTCTTCCGTCAAGCTTCACCACATTGAGCACCTCAAGTGCCACCGCGATTGCAAGCATGTCTTGCTGCGCTTGCTCAAATCTTGCTCAGTGCCACCACTGGAAGACTTCATGGACCTTCCTGGAAGTTACAACTGTGTTATGCAATTGCTGTGCACCAAGGTGTCCTTCTGTCATCAACTAGGTCACTAGGTGTTGATTGATTCTGATTACTTCATGAACCTGAAAATGGAGCCAATTCACCAGCGAGGTCACCAGTGAGATCGTTTCACGTGACCGACAACGCACCGCCGAAAATGGGAACCGCTGTCAAACCGAATTGATCAACCATAGCAATACACAACACTTGCGGACCTGCGGCATCCTTACTTCAAATCAAAAGAAGGAGGCCCCTTGTGAATCAAGACCTGAACAATATCAACCCTCTTCCAAAAATTATAAAACAATCTTCAGTCCAAACATTCCCATCACTGTTTGGCAAACCGTTCGACAGTGTTAGGAACTGCACTCAACACAACCCCAAAGACAATATTTGGGATGTGTTGCAGGTATCCCAGGGATGTATGCAAGTTGGGATGCGTTATGAATGCAAGTTGGCCGGCCAAACCCGAACTCCCCCAACAAACGCCCAGGAAAGAACCAGGAGGCAAAGGCACCGCAAATCCAAGGACACATCGGTACACCAAGAAAAAAATTGAGAAGGCTTCATGCACCTCAGTCAGCAAACGGATTTCCACTCGGGAAAGAGTCACGGCTAAATAATATACATTGGCAAGGCCGCGACGTCTGACGGGTGTTCTTGAGCAACCCCACCTTGAAAAAAAAACATTATACACTATTATTCTGCATTGATACTGATACGCATTGCGTTCATTTTGGATATCAATGACTGAATTCTACACCCTGATGGTCAAAAATGGTCCTAAACGGTGCACTCTTAGCATGACATGGGCCATGTCTTTTTGGTGTGTGTGGCCTGGACTTCAATGAAAAACATCCATGAAATCTGTTGGCCGCGCTATAGGTTAGGGGCATGTGCGAACATGCATCAACAACAAATGTGAACATCCTAAAATCCTAAAGGAAACCTTGGAGGACCAAAAACTGAACCTCCAAAACGCCCTCGATGTGCGTGAGCAACCGTGTGAACATGTCGCTGCGCATGCTGCCGAATTCATGTGAAAAGGCGAGCAACCCGTGAAACCTGGGAATGTTGACCGTTTTCTTAGCACGTAGAACTTCGTGGAGCCGTGAGATTTGCGGCTTTTTCAGCACGCAAATGTGTTTGCCCGTACTCGGCGAAGTTCCCAGGTCCTACAATCTGGAAGAGCACTTGTGAACAAAATCCTGACACCAACCCTTGATCCAACCCGAGCGCGATTTGGACATGACTGTAAGGGCAGCTTTCTTATAACTAAGAACTGAAGCACGCTGATTGATGACATTGCACGGTCCACCCGATCTTTCCCACATCCACTGTCCCACACGAACCGAGGCACATGGTCCACCAAGATGCGACATGGAGGGCCCCAGTTCGCAAATAAAATTTCAAACCTCGGGGAGTTTCGGAAAATTCAGGTTGAAGACGGCTTCTCAGCAGCCGCCCTCACCGCAGCACCGGAGCGCCGCTTTTAGCTTCGATCATAGCGCTCGCGCAGCAGCAGACGCCTTAGATGGCTAAGCCAGCCAAGTACCTGCACGTGTGAGTCGCCCACACAGGGCTGCCGAGACCAACCTGTCCTTTTGTGGAACAAATCCTCAGGATGTGTGCAAGGATCGCGAATGTAGCATTCACGCTCACTTTGTAAGCCAGGGCACTCCCAAGCAAGGTGCAACCAAGTGGGGGGCCACCGCACGGGAACACTTGGGGCAGAATTCATCAACCCTTCCGTGTTTTTCATGCTAGCAAGGCAAGCTGGGCTAACTGCAGCCCCCGATAAGATTGCAAAATAACAACGTTGATCAGCACAGCGACGTGCCCAACTACAAGCATCGGCGTTGTAGCTCTGCCCGCGAAAAGAATCACGACGAGCCCGGTCATGATGCCGATTCCAAAAGAGTCGACGAGCGCTCTCTCGGATGTTATGGAGACACCAATCCAACTTGGGAAGGGGTCTGTGAAGATTCAAGGTAGGCAAGTCAGGATGTTTCCAACGCCATGGGCCATCAGAAGACCAACCGAAGTGACGCAAACACTTTTTTTAAGACCCCGGGAAACCTTTGGTAGTCCAAGCAACCGCATTCACCAATGTACGTTTCTGAGTCTGTCTCCAAGCCGCACCGAAGTGACCAAGTGTAATGCGAAGGAACATGTGAAGTTGATGACCTCTAAGTAAGTGTCTCAACCATTTAGATCCAGTCACTGGTTCTTGAAGGCTCCTGATAACTGCCGACTGAACCTGGGAGTGAGAGAGAGAGAGAGTTGAAGGCGGCGGCAGCTTATCAGCAGCTAGCCCCACCGCGCAGGCCAAAGGCTACGCTAAGCGGCAGTGTCATGCGAGCGGCGCGCAGCAACTCGCTCATCGAGCAACTCCTTCCTTAGCTTATACAAAGCCAAGCCAAGACACGTTCATCTCTAGTGCAAAGTTGTACAGGCCAACCGGTTCGTTGGCCAAAAACACGTGTGGGAACCGAGAAGCCGGTTCCAGGAATCTGGGACCGGAGATCATCCCAGTGCTTGCAGTGCCATGCCAGATGAATCCAGGTAGGAACACACTTATCATGACAGTAAGGCAACTCTGAGGAACACCTTCCTTCTTCATCCTTTGGAGACATGCTGGACTCACCGAAGAGCCACACAAAATGGCGGAGAACGGACGTTGCACCGCCGGCTTTCGAGCCCACTTGGAAGAATCGGGCTTGTAAACCTCAAGCGGGTCAGAGTCACGACGTCCAGCATTATGGTGCTTGGACCAAAAGAAGCGCCGAGTACTTTCGCGAATGCGATGAAGTGACACTTCAAGCGCGGGCATCTGCGGACTGCACAACGAAATGGAGGGGACCTGAGGGTGAGACCATTTCCAGACCATCCAGGGACCACCACCACTCCTTGACACACCTGTTGACAATGCCAGGAAAACCGGAAACCTTTGAGGGTCCACTGACCAGGGGATCGATCAGGTCTTTTGTTGGCTTGTCGCCACGGAAGTTTCCGAGGGTGATACGTGAGAAAACATGCAACTGATGTCCACACAACAGATGTCGGAGCCACTTGGGTCCGCATGGGGGTTCGCACTTTCTGCAGTTCACGCTTATTGGGCAGCTTGAAACCCCACCCCCAACAAACTTTGGACAAAGGACCAGAGGAGATAACACGCCGCTTATGCTGCCAGGTGATGGGGAGGAAGGTGGCCTTCTTAAGGAGTGCAATTGAACTCACAAGGCGCTCCTTTTCTGCAAGCCCGCCGCTGGGTACCGCTAAGCTCGTGGCCGAGCAGCTTGGGATGGCTGGTAATCTGTTCCGGATCAATATCGCGGTCACCAATGAGGAAGCTTTGCGGCGGTTTTCACGAGTAGAAGACGGCCTGCTCGCAGCACGCCCCCCTGCGCCTTAGCGCTACCCTTCCCGAGCAGATCGGGTGACTCAGCGAGAGAAACGCTGATCCAGAAAGCGTTGACGCACGGTCACAAGCCACTGAAGCACATCCTCGTCATGGCCTGCATGCACAGGCCAAGATCAACCCAGCCTGCGCTGAAGCGGGCAAAGAACCCTAATCTCTGACACCCTGTGCTGAATCCTCAAGAGCTGCAAAGCACGACACTCCCACGCCACGTGGTTAAAGTCAGGAACACAGCCAGCTTGACACCATGGGCAGGTGGTAGGAACCTCCTCCTGCCGAGCTGAGGGTTCCCCCAGTCATCAGCACCGTGAACCTCATCCTTGAAGTGCATAACCTTCGAGCCTTAACGCACCGAGACTCGTCATACGAGATGTGCTGTCTGCCGCATTCAATGTAACCGTTCCTCGCACCAGGGACAAGTGTGCAGGACACTCTCGTGACACATCACTGCAAAGGCCGCAGGGCTCACAGTACCCCAGGTCATACGGAGCACTGCAACCTTTTGGAACAGGGAACAGGAGTTAAACGCGTGGTAACATCACCTCCCGTGCCAGAAGAAGGCACCACAGTGATACAGACACCACATCGTTTTGCAGCAGCCAACAAGGACAACCCGTCAATCCATCTACCGTCTTTGAGAGATGCAATCAACCAGAAGTCCCAGTCAGCGGGGAGAGAATCATTCAAGGTAAATTCCTTGCTATGCTTTTTGCGATGCACAAACAAATCATGACGAACCGTGACAGTTAATTCGGGTGGCAAGGCTAGACTTCAGCTTGTCAAGATCTTCGCCCTTCTCTAAACCAAGAGCCATGGAACATGAACAAATACCCTCAATTTCCCCCTGCTCCACGCTTCGACTTCGAAGCGAAGCGATCACTGTGCAGGGAAGGAACATGTTGCTTGCAAACGGCCGACCGTGTCACGTCCGCTCCGCCTTCACTGGTCGAATCACTTGGAGCTTGGCAAGAAGTGGTGGATGCGAGGCCGCTCGGCCGCACCTGCGAGCCTGTCCCGGAGAGGAAGCCTGTCAATCCGCTTCTGGATGCTTCGTCACTGCTTGGCGCGTAGGCTCGGAAGTTCTATGGCCTTGGTCTCGCCAGGGAAGGCCTAGTGTATTGAGCGACTCTAGTTGGGTGAACACTCAGCCGTGGGAACGGGCTCTTAAACCTCTGATTGCACTCGGTCCCGCACTCCCAGCCTGAATTCCAAGTCCCCCATGCTTTGCGTGAGTCGTTCCGTATGTACTAATTACCTCACTTTCATCCGCAATGGCCGTCGAGAAGCAGGGCTTGGTCAACCATGTTCTGGGGCTCTTTGCAAGAAAGCTCATCATCAGTTTGATCAGGAGCGATTCCATGTCATGGCCACTGCCACTGTCAGCCCTGCCGTCCTGAGCAGGATGAGGCAGGGGCCCCTGCCGAGCTGCCGTTACTGCCAGAGTGATGAAGTTCCAACATTTCTTCACATTGCTTCGAGCTGCGGAGGGTCCGCGCTGCTGAGAGACCTCTCCAATGAGTTTATCCCACCTTCTTCGGCCAAATGTTCCTCCAATGCCAACTGCCTCTCTTCGCCTCTTGAAATTTCACCTGTCCCTCGTCCTATGGTCCTATATTGTCAATTCTATGTTCGCTTGTTCTTTCAAACCCGAATTAACTTCGGAGATTTAATCTTTGGGATCTCCTCATGAAGAGATTTAGCATTTGGGATGTCTCCTCATGAAGCCTAATAGCAAAGTAAATCGGAAAGCTTGCTTCTCCCAACCACAACTCTTCAGGTCTACCAGAAAGAGGGCTTTGTGAATGCGCAAGCAGTAGGCATGAAAGTAACGAATCTGAACAAATCATGAACAATCTATGACCCACAGCAGTTCCATGTTGGAATGGTGTTTCAGTCCCATCCAGCTGGATCATTGACACTACCCGCACTCCTTTGGAACTGGCCAAAAGTTTTCATGCTTCCCTGCCACCCATCTCTACTGACTCGTCGGCCACGGCACATTGAAAGCATGGTCCGAGTCCACGTACCTGGGACAGTTCATCCCCAAGCGTGACGACATATGTGGTCCCAAGTCACTTAGATCCGCTGCACCGCGGGGCTTGGAGCAAAGCTGTTTATTGGAGTGCTCCTGGCAAGAGTAATTCATTCGGCCTAAACACTTTTGGACCACCCCGTAACATGAGGGTCTAGGTCGCGGACGTTCCACCCGAAGATCGAAGCCGTGGCGAAATGGGCTGGCCGCATCAGGCTGACCAAGGAACCATAGTAACGAAAGACCTCCTCCCTGATCTCGAAAGGCCCCAGGGGATCCTCATGTCCGCCATCCGTCGCGCCATCGGACGTGTGCACCGGTCCACATGGGCAAGTGATTCGATTCGGCGTGTGCTTCGGACGGGACGGTGGCACAGAGCGGCCTCGACGCAGCGTACAGGCATGATTGGGGAAGAGAAGTTCCTCGATTCCATTTGATTCCGGGATTTGGTCCAAATCTGCAGAGTTTGTGCTTGCCTCATGACTCCTTGGATGAATTGACTCAGATCCTGGGTCGGCAACCATTTACAGTCACGGCTGGTTTGGGCCATTCACCAAACTGGGCAATATTGCGGTTGCGGCGTATGAAACTCTCTTTGCCCACACAGCATGGGACGTAAACTAAACCGGTTCGGAAGGTTTAGGAAATTCAAACCACCGACCAAACCTCAACAAACATCAATAGCTTGCTGAGCCATCAACGTGATAACAGCAAAAACGGATGACTCGATGGCCACCCCCGCTTGGAATACCAGCAGAAAGAGTAGTGCACACTTGCATCAACAATCAAAGTACCAGGTGGAAAGACTTCAACAATCAAAGGGCCCAAGCAAAGGGCCTGCTGTGCAGTAGATGGGAGTTCTGACCCATATATAAATACATTTAGTTCATGAGAGCACACGAGCTTCGGCAAATGGAAGTGCCCAGAATACAGGACATGCATAGAACCCAAAAAAACATGTCCATTCGACCTCCAAAACAAGTTCATTCCCGAAGACAGTCCATTCAACCCCGAGTGGAAGTTCTAAGACATGGTTCTCATGATGTCTCATGGACTTGACAGACCTCCTCGAAGAACTCCTTGCCCCTCCGACTGGTTATCGGTGTGTGTGTGTGTGTCCACGTTTTTTCTTTGAGGCAAGGGTCTTCGATATAGTCTTGGCACAAGGTGCTTAAAGTCATGCCAGCCACACATTGAACCAAGCTCAGCAAGCAGAAACTCCAGAGAAGCATGCCACGACTGGCAGTTAAACATTTGATCAAAAGCCTTAGCTGGGAAAGTTCGCGACATGGCGGTCAAAACCAGAATACCTTCGTTGTCCTAACTGGAAGGTCAAGCTATGTCAAGCTACATGGACTGGTGGGTCACGACCCATCCCCACATGGCTTCCTTCGCCCATCTGCTTCGTCCCGGCGAGGTGACTCGTCGTTGTTCCCCAAACTGAAGACGACGAACGCGATGGCCTCCAACCCAAAGAGCGATGGCCTCTACATCATCCTACATCGATGTTCATGTGGGACCTCCTCAGAAGGTGGTTAACCCTTCCAAACACCCCAACCACCGAACCTCAGGAGGTAGGCCAGCCCAAACGGGTCAAATACGGGAACCTCCCTGGCCCTGGGTGTTCCGAACCTTCCAGAGGGGTCGAGACGTGGGAGGTCTCCCGAAATATGATACAATACACACCCACATATATTCCCTAGGGATCCAAGTACCTTCTCAGAAGGTACTTGGACCCTCCAAACCTACATAACAGTGTCTCTAATCACCTTCTGAGAAGGTACTTGGATCCCTAGGGATTGTTCTCATGCTGAGCATGTTTGGAGTGTCATTGGGGATCGAAGATATCCCCGTTGTGTTCGGGAACGAGGAAAAGGTGATGGTGGGTGAGGTGAGGTCTTGTCCATCTGGTACACAACTGCAGTTCCAGTTTCTTGTCTGTTGCTGTCATCAGTTGCTCGTCAAGTAATTGCTAAGAGAGGCTTTCCTATGCTATCCTACATTGGCTAAGCCTCAGTTCTCGAAGGCCGACTTTCAGGCAAAGCCGAAAGCCATGATTGGCCCGTCGCACACCCATCCAGGAAACAGTGGATTCATGTGAATTCCCTACCTGATTGTTAGTTGGACCCACATGCTTATGTTGACTGTTAAAGTATATGTTAAAGTCACCCAAAATACTTGATCTCTCTTCCCAAACTACGTACGCTCATCAATTCCAAGCTTCTGCAAGGACAAAAGCATGCTGCCTTGGATTGGCTCGGGTCAAAGACTTGAGCTCGAACAACATGCATCCTTTGCATCCTGCCCTTACTCTGTAATGGGGCATGATGTTCAAAGCCCAGCTAATAATGAGGAATGGACATGAATGGACTAGACAATTGTTCTAACCACTAAAGAGTTGCCATACTCAGCAAACACCCATGTCGCATCCATGGGTGTCTGCATGCACATGAGTGTGGGTCATGGCACCCCAGCCATGGCACACACGTGATCTAGACGAGCAAATCTCACACGGCACTTCAGCTATTTCTTCGAACAAGGATGTGTATTCGAACAAACCAAAAAATGAAACACCCTCCATCACACCAACTTGCGGACTCGTCCTGTCACGCCCCTACCAGCCCTTCCACTCAGTGGGGTACTCTAGGGTAGATATGCACGCATAGATCCTGTACAAAACATGCAGTATACAGTGTGACAAACAGACTGGTAGAAGACGCAGTCATATTCACACATGAATTACACGGCACGAATATGCATTCAATTTAAGCATCCCATTGGAGCATTGAAAGGTCTTTTTTAAGTCGAATTTGCTGCTTAACTCTCTGGTAGAGGTTATGTCTCTTTCGAATGGTAGGTTTTCGGAAGTATCACAAGAAATGAGAGCTGAGTCCAGCCGAGGCTGAAATGGTACACGTACGTTAAGCGGGTATGTTTGTCCCGGCGTGGATGCATAGTCCGCAAGCACTATATACGCAATTTCATGTTGGGGAAGGTTGGGTCGAGCTGTAATTCCTCCAGTTAAGCTCCTATGGAATCCCAAACGAATTAAGGAGCTAGCTCCGGATTTTTTATATCGCGGGAAAAGTTTGTGTCCCGTGGTGTTTTCGAGATATCGGACAACTGCTCGAAAGGCTGATGTTTGGTGGCCTAAGCCGCGAAATTCCGGTTTCTGCAAGGCGACCTCACCGGAGAAAAAGTCATAAGGCACCGCGTATCCTTTTTCATTATCGTGAATCCAAACCGGTAGGCATTTTCCTGCAAAAACTGTGAATTGTAGCGCTAATTCACACCAAGTGACCCCAAAATAATCCTTGTTTGGAGGTAGATCTGGATGGCTCCAAGACATTTGTTGGAAAAACTTCCACACAGCAGTGGCAAAGGCAAAACCAGCAGGACATGCATGAGCTACCACTGGAAGGAGAGTACCCGTCATAGACCAAAAAGGTCCTGTTACGGTCCACTCCACTAATGTGTGCGTGTACTGAGTAATAGCCTCTAGATCCTGTGCATTAATGAGTCTTCATTAGCTTTGTCAAGAACCCTCTTTCGGCACGGTAAACCTGGTGAATCGCTTAGGAGCTTTGTCTATCATGATCTAATTCTCAAAGTGAACATATCATAACATATCTGATGTTGAGGTAAACCCATCTTTGCACAGCAAGAGGCGGCAAAACCGCGGTCGGTCAGTTTCGCACCCTTCTGTTTTGTGGTGTCTCCCTCCGGGCGGCTCATGGTGATCATCCGGATAGCCCTTGCCAGCTTCCCTAAGCGCAAGAGCTTGAAAATCAACGGGTTCACCGGCATGCTTCCACTGGTGCCGCTGAGCTCCTTGGGATCGGTGACACCAAGTCAGATTCAAGCAGGAGACACCATGGAGACCGTGGCAGGTCGTAGTCATGCACTTTGCAAGATCAAAGAGAGGATGATTTCAATTGCCTGGCAGGCTGTACCCAAGTTGACTGCTATCCACCTCAATCACATGGGCCCTTGGCTCCAAGTAAGTGAGGGTGGTCAATCGGGTGGTTTGCTTGTCTAGTGGGAAGGATATTGTTTTTGTGTTTTCCAGACCATGTGACAGGACAACACCTGACTCAACAACCCACTAACATCCACTAACTAAAGAGGAAGAACATGCAACACACCCAAACAGTGTAAACTGAGGTCCTTGTCTTGCAGTGAATCGACCATTGTAGTCGAGTGAACATGAAATCCTGTTTTCAAGAAGCCACTCATGGAAAAGCTGATATCAGGGCATCTTGCAGCCCCGAAAGCTCGAAAGCTCACATAGCTGGAGGCACAAACCAAAGCTTGGTATAGATTGGAAGCCCCAACTAAATGCTTCGCTTCCGGAGGCACAAGATATGCTGATCATAGCGATGGGGAGGCCAACCTAATAGCTTATATAGTTGGTTTCAGGGGGGATGTCTCTTTCCTACAATGGAATGCTAGACTGCTAGTTTCTGAGCCACCAAGCCAAGCAGTTGCCCACAGTTGCTGCTTCCAAGCCACATCACCCTCAGTCTCCCAAGTCAGCACGACCTGAGGTTCTTCAGATTTCAAGGTGGTCTTTATTGAGTTTGGTCGTCAAATCTCTCTTCCCTTGCTGTCGTTCCCCGACATCCTGGGCCCGTCACCCTCCTCTATACTCGTCTAGATCGTCTGGCTGCATCGCAAAAAAACATATGTGTCCGACCTCGGCCAGGGAGGTCAGGGACACCAGGATGTCCACATAGTTCAAGCACACGTGGAAGAAACGGCACTGAAGAACCTCCAGCGGTCGCATGGGGCCGGGGTGGGAAGACGGAGTCCAAACACCGGGTGAATGGGCCACTCTCTCTTGAGACCTTGATCCAAATCCATCTGCTCTGCATTTTTTTTGGTGAAATGTCCTTGACTCTCTACAGCCTTTGGCCCGATCGATGGAGAAACCTGTGTCCAAGTTGTTAAGGAGGTAGGGAAGGGTTTCAACACATGAGGCAACAGAAGCTGCACACAAAGCTTTTGACAACACATAGACAAACAATGACGAAGACATGTTAGAAAATACATGTGCCAAACCATGCTAATGCAGAACACTTGTCAAGTCAACACAAATAGGATTATATGCACACCTCAACACATATGAATGTTTGGAGAGAACACACCTTCTTCTCTTCCACCCCACAAGTTGTTCTTCGCTATTGAGCCACCAGGTGACTGAAGCTTGTGAGCCGTTTTCGGACAGGTGTATGCACAAACCCAGCTTGGCTGAACAAAGCGTTCCCGGAATCTCAATCTCCTTTTAAAAAAAAAACAGGAGTTCGTGTCATCTTTTTGACGTGTTCACAACGTTTGACAACCCAGGAGCACAAACGCGAAGGAGCACGTCAAAGACGAAGAAGAAAGCAAAGAACTTGTCTGCCTTTGAAAATGTGCGAAACCTGAGGTGAGACCACCGATGCAGAAAATGAGCCATGCCATACGGCTCTTGAGGACTGAAGATGTCGTTCCTAGTAGCTTCTTGTTACTAATAGCTTCTTGTTACTACTAGTAAGGCACTTGTTACT